AAACAAATATCCATAATTTATGTTAACAGTACTTAACTCACATTTTATCCTATGACTGTAACAGTTAATCCACGCTTCTTACTGACAGTGTATCCTTTGTAATACACAACTTTATTCAGTACCGTTATTAGCAGTTTTGATAGCCAAAGCCATGGTCGTAACAATTGTTTAATTTTATTCTGGGCTTGCAGTGTACTCCTAGTACTTGGTATTACTTAAATCATTGCTTAGGCTGTGGGTAGCAATGATAACTAGAGTGACATGAAATACAGGTAGCCCTCGATTTTCGCCGATTCAGACTAACACCTATTTTTAAACCAGCAAGTTAAAACGTGAAAAAAATATATTTTACTATTATTTATAACGTTTTACAATGTTTCTCGTACTGATTCTTATACTAAATCGTAATTCTTACATCGCTGATTTTGAATAAAAATTATAAATACAGTCATCTCTGCAATTACGTATGTTTCGTTAATGCGAATTTGCTCCAATGAGATCGATGAATCGGTAAAAGCTGTTTGTGAAATGCAAACTTTTGCATATGCGAGTTCGCTCTTATGCAATTTCATTCCTGGCACTTTAAACTTTCAAAGGACTGATTTAATCTCTGCGGAGGTACCAGGGTTATTTTTACTACGCGATTTTCTATAGGTCGGTGTCTTACATGAATGCAACTATCGCATAACAGCAGAGATGACTGTACACATCAATCATATGAAAGAATCGCAGTCAATCGCAGGGACCAACGAATTGCCGATTTAAGTGCATAAAATATATTTTTTAAATTCCCTTTATTTTATTTTCGTTATTTCAGAGCTTTAAATGTACTGACATTATATTACTCATCAATGTTTGGGTGCTGGGAATGCATGGCATTCACTTCCCATTGATTTACATTATAAAAGAGTTTCAATTTACGCCGGTTCGTCCAGGAACGCATCCCCGGCGTAAATCAAGGGCTACCTGTATATTATTCTTTTTAAACAAATTTAATTGTTAACAAACACTCACCCCTGTAAAAAACAGAAGAATGAACAAAATCAGTGGAGTGTCTCACCTTATGTGCTTGAGCTGTGTTGATGAGGGGCCCCAAAGAGCAAGAGTGATCCATTCCAGACCCCATGGAAAGGGTCTTTATTTTATCGAGAATTTTATCAACAAACACATCAAATATTTCATCTTGGATCAAAAAGCGATTTGCACTGACACATGTCTGGAAATCAGGGAAACAAATTGAAACATGGTTATTTTAACAAAAATATAATTCATTAGCACAGGCAAGAAAAAAAAACTGTCAACAATTATTAATTCGACAGATGATAGACGATTTTGCATTGTGTTTATTTATTTCATGATAATGTACCAACTGCATAGTTTAATTAGGATTAGTATATAATATGAATTGTTTATAATAATTTATGTAAAACTAGTTAAAACTAATTACAAGGAACAGTCAGAGTATTTGCTCAGATAGACTTAGCAAATTCAAGAAACCATATTAGTATAACAAGTCTCCAGCTGGGATTCAAACCAGGTAAATGTGAGACAGTCATGTTACGCTCAAGTCCATTTGCTCAGCATGGAAGCTAAGTAAACCACATTAAATCTGTTTGGGCAAATCCAAATATAATCATAAGAAAGAAATATGTGGGCAAACCACAGCACAATGAATATTCCTTCTCTTATAAAACAAACTGAAAGTTCATTATGTTTCCTGTAATTAATTGCACATAGCAATGTTCCAAATTTTGTATACATAAGTGTGACAGAGAAGAGCGCTTAAACATACCTGGCCACAGTTACGGAATTTTGATGCAATCGCTCCGTCAACTGCCTTATCAATATCAGCACTGTTGAAAACTATGAATGGAGCGTTTCCGCCAAGTTCCAACGCCAATCTTTTAACACCAGATGAGCTCTGTTTATACAGTAACTTTCCTACTGCAGTCGAACCTAATAGAATAAATATTTAATTCACAGATAAGGATATCATTAATAAGAATTTCAACATAACACCATGTGAAGGTTCAGTGAGTGTGCTTTCCACTGGAGGTCGATGGATTTTTAAGGGTGATAAAAATCCGTAGCACAACTTCCTTCGGAGGGGAAGCAAAGCTGATGATCCCATTTCGTAGATTTACGGCATGTAAAATAACCTTATGAGCATGAACGAGATGCAATGTGCGCAAAATTCAGAGGCCATTTCTCACCCATGTCTTTGGTAGAGGCCTTGTGATGGGCTGATCACTTAAAATACACAACTTCCACAAAATTACATGGACATGCTTTAAACATTTCTTTCTTTCTTCTTAAATGATTCAACTTTTTATTGGAAACTGACTGTTGGCAGAACAGCATAGATTCAGAGAGCCTCAACTTTGCATTACAAACTGATCAATGAAATATATTTGTTGGTTAGTTTCATGGTGATCATTTTTTAAAATTACTGTTTTTAATTATTATAATCTCAAGACACTTGTGCTGAAGATTTGAAAGTCATGTAATAAACAAGATAAACACACTACAATGTAAATGTTCACTGCCTGCTGTTTTTACGACATTCTTGGTGGGAAATTCCCTAGTCAAACTTATGTTTTGCTAATTCTCTTGGCACGACCAGGGTTCATTCCCCAACAGGGGCAGAGGACTTTTCCTCTAGCCTCTGTGTACAGACCAGCCTACTTAATGGGTTCTGGGGTACTTTCCTAGGGTAAAGCATGGCCGGGGCATGATGCTGACCACTCACCCCCATCTAGTGCCAAGGTTAAGAATGAGTAGGAGCTATACCTCCTCCCCCCCGCCAAGCACCTATATGGCATATAGCGAGACAGCTTTACTTTACTTTTAATTCTCTTGGCACTGATTTCAGTAAACCTAACTTCGAAGTTCCAAATCTATAGCAACATATTCAATATATTTGTAGCTACACTGTACAGATGGAGGCTGTTTGCTCCATCCACCACCAGAGGGAATGCCATGCTGTGGAGGATATTGTTGGAAAACAATATAGTCTGGATAATAATTGGGCGTATGAAAGGTGAAGTGAGTGAGTAATTTGAAACACATAACATGGAATTTCAAAATTTTTACAGGTCACCCAGAACTGTTGTGACATCGCAATTTAAGAGGTTATGATGAGCTGGACATTAGCTAGGACAGGAGAAAAGGTATACAAGCAATATTCTGATAAACCAACCTATTCAAAAAAAAAGTACTTGGAAGAATGAGAAGAAGACAGGAAGATAATATTAAGATTGATCTTATGCTAGGAAGTTGATGACTGGAGCTGCGTGGAACACTCGTAAGATAATGTTGAATGGCGTACTTTAGGTATATGTGGTTCTGAACCTTGCGCTCTGCAGCTGGAGTATTTATTTATTGCCCATAGTCTTATCAACCAGAGTTACTAACCTGTGAAAGATATTCCAGCTACTAGCGGACTTTCACAGAGAAGTTTCCCCACTTCAGGTGCATGATCTCTGTTACTGGTTATCACGTTGAACACCCCCTTGGGCAGACCTGCTTCTTGTGACAGCTGTGCAAGCGCAAGTCCAGTGAGGGGCGTGTCCTCGGCTGGCTTCACAACGCACGTGCAACCAGCAGCAAGTGCTGCGCCCGCCTTCCTCGTTATCATTGCAATCGGGAAGTTCCACTACAAATAAAATTATTGTTTATTTATCTTGTTACTGGTTCATACAATGCAAACTTTACTTGTATGTAAAACCCTTAACAGCACCAACGTGTACTGCTATTTATAATAATATATATATTAGTGGAATCCTGTGGGATTAAAAAATTACTGATAATGAGATGGTTTCTGTATGGTTCAGGAAAGAAGGCCGTTTTTCCCTGAGTACTTGGAAATTAAAAACAGGAATACTGTAGGCATGTTTCCTGTTTCTCTCAATGATAAGTATGAAGATGGCTGTCTTCTCGTATGATGCACTGTGTAATCTGGCAGGTATAACCCCACATTTCAGAGAAGATTACTGCCCCCATCATTAGTAATGTCATTCAATATCTACCAGAATACACAGTGCATCATACCAGAAGGCAGCCATCTTCAGGAATATTCCAGTCTTTATATCCCCTCTGCATAAAATGTGCAAAACAGAAGCATAAATGCACAATTAAAATACTTAGACCTCATTAAACTATACTCACTTATAAACCTTTTATTTAACACGTAACGGGGGGGGGGGGGGGGGGTATCATAGTCGGCAACCTTACCTTCTTCCACCAAAAATTACCAATTAACCTTTTCAATTGAGTAGCACGGCGTATGATGCCTTTTGCAGGAGGCTTCATTTGACTCACGGCATGTGCTCTGGTGCCATAGAATAGCAAGCCTTTACTATACATTTTATATTTAGTGTTCTGTCTGATGACAGGTCCATATGAACAGGATCCTTCCATCCTTTTCTCGGACTGGGACCTGTTCATATACGTTCTTGGCAGATGATCCAGAAGTGGTTTGCCATTGCCTTCTTCTGTGTGTGAATGGAGTAATTGTTGGGATGCCACGGAGGAAAACTCCGTGTTGCCTAGACCACGGCCTTGCCCAACACAAGTTATAAATTCGGGCACCGCCGGGAATCGAACCCGAGACCCCAGGATTACAAGGCCAGCGTTCTAACCGCTAGACCACCGTGGCGGCTCTTACTATACATAAGCAACTAAAAAGTTCATTGTTTTACAAAGTGGTACTTACTGGTGTAATTAATGCAGCAACTCCTATTGGCTGTTTTATCAGGATCATTTCTTTGGTACGAGTAGGACTGGCAAGAATTTCACCCTGCATTAACAAAAATTATAAGATATTTCTAAATAATAAATAATATTCGTTGGAAGCTTGATTGGTTGGTGACCATTTGACTTTATTGTTAATAACTGTTGCCATAGTAATAGTGTTCTGAGATTTTGGGCCTTATTGTATAATATTTATGACCACATGATCATTCATCCATTGCCAACTATACACAGTGGATGCAACACCTCTGAGTTACAGCTATGTCACAATAGGAGAGGAAGGAAGGCAGAAGGGGCAGGCAGGAGCAAAATGGCAAAGAGTCTGTCTGAGCATGAAGAGTGGAACTGAAAACATTTTTTTCCCATCTTAATTTTGACACAATCCATGGCATTGACTTACAAACTACACTATATTTCGTGGGGGGCAAACAAACAAAAAAAGGATGGGGTGCTACTGATTTACGATCTTGCCCTCTCTCCCACTTCTGTATTTGTAATTGTCATCCATAATTAAACAAAGGTACATAATTATTTTAATTTTTATACGCTGCTTTCCCATCATCCTTGACAAGCAATTTCTAGTATAAAAATATTTTATGTTATATTCCATTCCAGACGTCTACTTCAAAGAACACAAATCCAATTCAATCCAACCAACTTATTACTGTATGTGTATCATGCTCAAACACACATGACAATTTGAAGGACGTCTAAAAAAGTGACTACCTGAAATTATGTCACTGGGCAATGAAAAAGAATCTTTGAGTAAAGTAATGTACAACATCTGTGTAACCACTGTACACCTGACCAGTGCTCATGAATCTACTTTGTTAATTTGTTTTAAAACATCTTTCCCTTACACAAATCTGTAGTGCTTTAACTGAGAAATAAATTACTATGGCAACAGTTTACTTTAATGATGACTACATATCTCATTGAAAATATAACTGTTATGGTTCGTTCTCTTGTAGAACACAGATTGCAGATATACTTTATCTCCCTCGCTATGCTGTAATAACTTTGCCATTTGGTAAATAACCAACTCCATGTTACACATGAAATTATTATTATTATTATTTAGTGTTCTGTCTGACGACAGGTCCATATGAACAGGATCCTTCCATCCTTTTCTCGGACTGGGACCTGTTCATATACGTTCTTGGCAGATGATCCAGAAGTGGTTTGCCATTGCCTTCTTCTGTGTGTGAATGGAGTAATTGTTGGGATGCCACGGAGGAAAACTCCGTGTTGCCTAGACCACGGCCTTGCCCAACACAAGTTATAAATTCGGGCACCGCCGGGAATCGAACCCGAGACCCCAGGATTACAAGACCAGCGTTCTAACCGCTAGACCACCGTGGACACATGAAATACCCCACATTAAACTGATATTATTCATGTCACCCACCAAATTATACGGTCATCATTAAGTTCAAGAACAGTCTTTCTTAAAGAAATCACGTTACTAGAGACAGAATTTCTTAGCCAACAAAACTGTATATGTAATATACACAAGCCTAGAGACACATTCATAAATATATATTACATTATTTTCTACTTTTATACAGTTCAGATATTTGATATACTATACTGTGTAAGGATGCAGTTAATTTAGTATCTTTCAAAATGCAATAATATTTAAACTTCATTGTCTGTATCTTTCAAATACATCAACATCTTCATACAATCATATAAGAACAAGGAAAATTATTTTGCCGTCTACAATACAAGGTTGATAATACAGGGGAAGAAAATTATGACTTGGAGATTAATTCAATGAAAATAAATAAAATACACACTTACATGAGTCCTCCTGGCTTCTTCAGAAAACCACTCCACAAAAGAATTGCCATACGACACTTCCCCATGAGCCTCCTTCCATGGCTTCCCTGCTTCCGCAGTGATGAGTGTCGCTAAATCATCATGATGTTTGACCAGAACTTCATACCACTTCCTTAAATAATATGATCGTTCCTAACATATGAAACAGACGTATTTAAACCCCACAGACACGAGCTACAAAATTAATTGGGTCCCTTTCCATCACGGAACCGTGTGTCTTCAGGTCTTTTAGACACAAAGACAGCCTCCAATATGGAGGGCAGCTGTAAATATAAGAAATAAACAGCCGCAGAGTACTGGTAAGTGGTAGTCCTCCAACTTCGGGGTTAGGCATGGGTTAACAACACTTTAATGTGTAATATTCTGAAGAGGCCAGTCTTCTGGGTTGTAGTGCCATTAAGTCTGGTAGAAAGTATACTGACATATCAGAGTTGCCTGCTACCTCCATCATTAAAACAATGACTGCCCTGATGATGGCGGCAGCAAGCACCTCTAAGATGTCAATACACTTCTACAAGACAGTAATTCCCATGCAACGTTGAAGTTCACAGGCACAGAAAACGCAACCATGGCTCACCGTAGACCAACAGAAACCTCAAGTAAAACTTGGGCCAGTGGACATTAAACTGAGTGACACAATTTAGATAATACACCAACTCATGTGCAATTAAATGTTCAGTGTGGTATTACATGAAGTATGATTTTATAAAGTGCTCAGTGCTTTATAACAAACCATCGTTTCACGAATTGTATGATTTTAACAGACAGACTAATGAATAAAAGTTTTGCCACTGAAGATGACCTCTTGAGGTCAAAACGTGTTTGGCACAAAGTGTTATTTAATGTGCAGACAGTTTTGTTTGTATGCACGACTTTATAAACCATTTTCATACTTGCCACCATGAGGACCTGAAATCTTTCTATAATATTCAGCACTACAAAACTACCACAGAGGCATCCGAATTGAATCCATTCTTTAGAAAACCCCAGGCAGTGTTTAAAGGTTGTAAGAATAGTATCGATGACAGCAAAGAAATTGATGAAAATGGCTCAGAATCGTGTCCATGCTACTTTTATGGCACAGAAATTTTAGCAACCTGACTGACCACCAAGTTGGAGGACAACGTCTCGGTTATCTTCAGGTGCTTAATCAATATATTCAAAGATACCTACCAAAGCATCTACTTCACAGAAGAATTTACCTTAACCAAATAATTGAAGATATTATAAATATTTGTAATCAATAGTGGGTACACTGTCTTCTGAAAAAATGTTTGGAGTGACATGGGAGTTGACTGTAAATTACTGTCATAACTATGTAATTTATATTTGAATTAGAAACAAGTATTATATTTGTGCTATGTTCTACATTTTTGCTTGGGCTTATGAAGGTTCTGTGGAATGTAAATAAATTCTGAACTATATTATTCCATATCCGGAGGCTTGCTCATCCTTCCACAACCTGAGGACACACCATGCCAATCAGACAAGGAACCAAGTTAACATGATGTTAGATTCTATTATTAACTGAATATGCAACAAGATCATGTGTCAATAATATATTGTTCAATATACTAACAGCAGCATTAAATAAACAACAAATAAATAAATAAATAAATAAGATCATTTGTGATTTCATCCACTGCTACTTCATAAATCTGAAGCTTATTCATAGTTAGAGGGCTTAACATTAACTATTCTGATGTATTCAAATCGTGTAACCTGTCACCAAATTTGAGGGTTATTTAAGGTCATTAGCCCTAAACACAAATGATTCCAATATTACTAATTATTACAACTGATCACCACACTTTTAATACACTGTAATATGAAAGAAAATTCTGATAATAATTAGATCACTAAGTCCATCAATGAAAGACTGTAACTTAGAAACCTGTCGGATTCAGAGCCATTGGATGCCTGAAGAGAAGATGGATGAACTTTGAAGATTCTTACATCATTAAAACAGGCCTGCCTTGACAATGCTGACAGATCATAGGTTGAAATAAATAATGAATTGTGATCCAACACAATGACAGTTGGTTAAAATTAGATGATATGACTTTCGAGACTCGAACAAGTAGTCTTCAAAGGGTTAGTTTTGTGACAGCATACGATAATGAAACTAGGTGATATCAACCAACTTGTATAAACATTCATCTTTCAACAATCATGGCTAATCAAACAGCTTACAATGTACATTTTAAAAATACCTTTGCAGTGGTATGCTTCCAAGTTTCAAAAGCATCTGCAGCAGCTTGAATAGCTTTCGCAGTGTCAGATGCATCCATATCAGGAACAGAACCCACAATCTTCCCATTTGCTGGATCTATCACATCAAACACCTTGCCACTTGCTGCACTGATCCATTCTCCATTAACAAAAGCTCTGTTACGAACAAGCGGTACCTGAGTTTCCAGCTTAGTATGTATCTATCAGAAACAAAACAAAATTGAATGTAAACCTTATGCCTTGTTAGACTGCTGGGTTTTTTTATTGATACTAGTTTCGAAAGGAAAAGAATCGGATGCTTCTTACCTGTCTTAATATAAATCTCACTGAACTCATTTTTATTTTTAATGTACACGTACTAACGTTCATTGGAATATAAGCAAAATTTTTAAAAAATGAAAACATACAGCCCTTCGTAGTTAGTATCTATTATCTGAGACTGTCACGGTAAGACAACTTAAAATAAATACTACGCCAACATCCCTATTACAGTTCATTACGGGACAGATACTATCATTCCCGTTCAAGGTTAATTCAAATTAAGTTCAGTAACCGCAGAAACAACTTTTTACACAATATTTCACAGTGATGAAACTAGGAGCACTGCCAATAGCATGAAAGAGTAGAAGAGAATAGAATAGAAATTATTTTACAAAGGAATACTTTGCGGGTATAACCTGTACAAGGTATACATCAGGGGTTTGGAACGCGAAAATTGGGGTAGGAATAAAATGCTTGTGCGACATCTTCCCGCAGCAACACAATATTACGTGAACAATTTTGCGCAGCAGCATATTTCGTATAGTAGTTTTAGAATAGCTGCGGGTAGATGACATAACAAATCATAAATACTTCATAGCTACGTAGTTGCCAACCAAGATTACGGCTCTGTAATCTGAGAACTAATTGTAAACGAAATCTATGAAATGTTTATAACCGTGGTCTACGCTGTGAAAATTTTTGTTGCTGCTGCCAAGTTGGTCATGACTACGTTCCTTTCTGGTTATCTATGGTTATACCTACCCATAATTAATGATGCGCTCATTTCAGGCTTTTAAAATGTTCACAATCTTTCAAATCTCAAATCTCTGTCATTATATTATATGTGGGTAACTGTCCATGTTCATGATTACAATACTTTGAAGTGTATGTGCAAGTACTAAACTGTAGCATGAAGTGATATTTTGTCAACGTGACGAAATAATTCGCTAGCATTAGTCTGAAACTATCATTAAGTTCGTTTCATAATACATGTTAAAGTTCCGGCAGTCTGCAGGAAAAGTGTAAAGTAACTTGGTGGAAGCGTTTTGGTTTCTACAGGACAATAACACGGTGAGTTTTGTCACAACGAAAATGGCATTCCTCGAAAAAGTCCATTAAAAATATTCAGCGTGTTAGGAAGTACGAAGACTTCTGCAAAAGTGCCATAGATTCGTCGAGCAATTGCCTTCCTTAACTAGGAGTGTGCAGCGGTAGGGCATGTTTACTGTCAAAAGCCGTTTTGTGCTGTTATTGGCAGAATTGAAAGTGTCCCGATATTCCTTAGATCTATGTGCAAGTGTATTAAACCATAGAATTAAGACGTTTAATTTTCTATGTTGACAGATGAGGTTATGTTGACTGCATACAATGAATACTCATAACTTCTAAGTAGAGAAAAAGTATAATGCATACTCTCCTTAATGATGAAGATACATTTAAGTCTGAGGGTAGAACACAGATTGAAGGTATTTGCTAACAGATGTAGAGTAGAATATTATAACCCAAGAGGGAGGAAATAACAGAAGATTTGAGTAAATTGTACAGTGAGGATCTTCATAATTTTTATCCATAAACAAATATGATTAGAGAGATTAAGTCAAGATGGGTAGGTTATTTAGCACACATGGGAGAGGTGAAAAATTGGCCAAATTTGTGGACAGAAAACTTGAAGGGAGGGGACAACTTGGAGGATGTAGGTGTAAGTGGGAGGGTAAAATTAAAACAGGCTTTAAATAAATGGCATATGAGGGTGTGAAATGGATTCATCTGACTTAGGATAGGAACCAGTGGCAGTTTCTTACAACTTTGTACTGAACATTTGGATTCCAAAGAGGTGGATAATTTCTTAATTAACCATCTTTCTATTACCTTCTCATGGATGTGGCAACATGCAGTTACAGAAAGCAAGATCATTATTTTTATTTTTTTGTTTATATTTAAAGATGCTGTCAGTAGCTCAGAGCATATAGCATTGATTGATCAGATGTTAAATGAAGTGGAAATTATATGGAAGGATGCAGTATTGCCAAATTTAGGGTATTAAACCAGCATTTGCCAAAGGGACTGAGGAAATCCACATTGCTTGATTCATATTGGATTCTGTATGTGGGATTCTTAGTTTCAGCAATTGAAAATGTTATGTATATGTTCCAATTCTTGTTGTTTGATGACATATGGTTTTTACCAAGAGTGCTGTATGGAATGGCATATTGTCATGATGCAAACTCCATTTGTCCAGCCATAGATTTGGTCTTTGTCAGGATGATGAGTCACACATCTCCCTCATGATGTAACATTGGTAAACTTCTACCAGATTACATTGTGTTACAACCCAGACTCTCCGCCATGAAAACCTCAAATTCTAACGAACATATTGATCGAACATAGCAGAAAGGGTATGCCATGTCACCATCTCAGCTGCCATGTTTTGGACATAACCTGGTTTGAGTCTGAAGATCCATGTCTTCTGGGTTGTTGCGGCATGTAGTCTGGTAGGTGGTTACCGACATTTCAGAGGTCCTTGCTACCTCCATCATCAGGCTGATGCATTGTCCTGATGACGGAGGCAGGAGGGATCACAGACTTTGGTAAACATTACCATACTACACTGCGCAACAACCCAGAAGACAGCAATCTTCAGACTCACTGCTGTGAAAACCTCAATGTGAATGGTTTGAATTTTGTCCATATAGCTAACTGCCCTGGCAGGGATTGTATGGTCTTCCTTATCCCTCCAGGCTGGAAATGCTGTGATGGTAGTTCATTTCCTTATTCATAATCATCTTCATATATTATTTGATGTTGTAAAACATCACCACTTGAATCATCTTCAGTAAATAACATCAAGGTCAGTCATGAGCCATGGTTAACATGTTTGTGATTTGATTTTTGTTTTTATTTAAGAATCACTTGGCCCTCACTTTTGATGCAGATATAGCAAATTAAGGTACTTGTGGGTTATCGGGACACATCGCTTTAAAAATAGGTTAGGTTAGGTTATTATTTCTAAACCAATAATTTTGCATGCAAAAACTTTTTTGTGTCATTCTTATGGTATTTTAATCATTGAACAACAATTTAACATTATCAGGTCCTGAATTAGACCATTCATTTGTATCCCTTTCCAGTTCTCTTGGATTTGACTGGTAGTACATTCTTGGGCAAAAGTAAAAAGCAGCGAAGATAAAACATGTATATAGTGAGGATTTCTGAGATCGTACCACTAGGACTAGGAAACGTGACAGCCAACATATTGTAAGATAACTGTCTTCTGGGTTGTAGTGCCTCCATCGTCAGGATGATGAGTCACACATCTCCCTCATGATGTAACATTGGTAAACTTCTACCAGATTACATTGTGTTACAACCCAGACTCTCCGCCATGAAAACCTCAAATTCTAACGAACATATTGATCGAACATAGCAGAAAGGGTATGCCATGTCACCATCTCAGCTGCCATGTTTTGGACATAACCTGGTTTGAGTCTGAAGATCCATGTCTTCTGGGTTGTTGCGGCATGTAGTCTGGTAGGTGGTTACCGACATTTCAGAGGTCCTTGCTACCTCCATCATCAGGCTGATGCATTGTCCTGATGACGGAGGCAGGAGGGATCACAGACTTTGGTAAACATTACCATACTACACTGCGCAACAACCCAGAAGACAGCAATCTTCAGACTCACTGCTGTGAAAACCTCAATGTGAATGGTTTGAATTTTGTCCATATAGCTAACTGCCCTGGCAGGGATTGTATGGTCTTCCTTATCCCTCCAGGCTGGAAATGCTGTGATGGTAGTTCATTTCCTTATTCATAATCATCTTCATATATTATTTGATGTTGTAAAACATCACCACTTGAATCATCTTCAGTAAATAACATCAAGGTCAGTCATGAGCCATGGTTAACATGTTTGTGATTTGATTTTTGTTTTTATTTAAGAATCACTTGGCCCTCACTTTTGATGCAGATATAGCAAATTAAGGTACTTGTGGGTTATCGGGACACATCGCTTTAAAAATAGGTTAGGTTAGGTTAGGTTAGTTGTCATTTATTGAAATAAAATATAATAACTTTTCAAGTATATGTCATTTATCCACACACATTAACCTAACCTAACCTATTTTTAAAGCAATGTGTCCCGATAACCCACAAATACCCAAATTAATTTATGGTATTTATCTCGTTTGTTGATGTCACCTATGTTAATGAAAACACTGTGTTCACAGGCAGTCATTTTTTGATATCTGACATGAATTTTAGGGAATATGTATGAAAATTTAGGTTGTAAGGAAGTAGAGTTTGTCAGTTTGTTTTGACTAGGATTAATTTTATCCTACCTTATAAGTATAATGTTCATATCCTGATGACATATTTATATTAATAATAAATGTAATTGGTTATAATAATTCAGTAATTTCTGTCTGATGAAACATTAGACACGTCTGCATTGGCATTTGTTTCAGAATGCATAAACAGATGTTCAAACAAAGTGCCAGCAGGTGATGCTAACGTTCTTTTGGACATTTTACATTAACAGAGTGGTAACTTTATTAGCCCTGTGGATATGGTATACGAGAAGTATTCTATAGACACTTGCTAAGACAGAATGTGATAGTCATTCAAGGTGAAGTATTGTACTAACAGATCATTATCCAAATGGTATTTTGTCTCCTGAATTATTCTTCTGCTTCACTGGTCCAACTGTAGGCATTTAAGCTTGGTGATTTAATTTTTATCAGAAAAAGTTATTTTTCATAATTTAAGAGATGATGAATGGATGGGTTAAAATTTTAGACTGTATTGTTTAAGTGCAGTATTTTATGTTTAGGATTATACGTATGTTTTAATGTGTGGATGACACTTGAAATTGAAATATATTTCAGGATGGACGTAATGAAGATTTGATGACGAAGTACTAAAATGGAGGACGAGTGCATAACGTATCATTGTGCTTGATTTAGTTCAAGATCTGAAAATGGGAGAAATTATCGGGTCTGCAAGTTTCTTGCATTTGGGAGACATCGTCTCCCTCTATGCAGAAGGCAGTGTTTGTGGCTTCCTTAGTACTTTGGGGTGAGTATTTTTCATACATATGTACACAAGATATCCATATACATTACCATGCATCTCATAACTTCTCATTTCAGTTTGGTTGATGATCGAAGCGTGGTGTGTCCAGAGGCTGGCGATCTCAACAACCCACCCAAAAAATTTCGAGGTAAGCGTGTTCAGTAATATTTAATTTGTTGTATTATATTGTTTGGAGGAAGTATGGGGAAAAAATTGCATATCCCCCCCCCCAAAAAAAAAACAACAACAACATTGGTATACATAGGAAGGTCTTACTGTATTAACTGCACAACCAAATAAAATAAATATAAGTAAGATATCCGTCTTCTGAGTTATTGCGCTGTGTAGTCTGGTCGATGTTAACCAACGTTTCAGAGGTCATACTGCCTCCATCAT